CTAGGAGAACAAACAGGTTTGTCCTGGAGAAGGTGAAGCCAGGATGCTCCTTGGAGTCAAGGATTCTGAAGCTTCTTCTGACATAGTTTGGCCATGTTGCAAGGAGGGACTGGTCCTTGGAGAGGGACATCATGTTTGGCAGAGTAAAAGGGCGGGGCAGGAGAGGAAGACCTTTGATGAGATGGATCGATTCTGTGACTGGAGTGGTGGGAATGAGTGTGTTTGAGATGTCTAGGTGGCACAAGATAGAACGGCGTTTAGAGCTCTTGTACAGAGGGTCGCTATGAGTTGCAAGCGACTCGATGGCACGTAACAACAACATTGTTGGCCTCTATTTAACTGACCAAGAAGCTATTATCTAAACACAACAAGGGAACACTGAAGGGTTTTAAATCAGGAAAATGCCAGTTTATGTCTCTTGCACTCACTGTTAAAGTCATGGGGTTTAATGAAATCTTGCCCCCAAAACCCAACTGATAAAATATAGAAAAGAAAGATACCTATCAAAACTAAGTTAAATAGAAACCACAGCCTGATATTCCTGCAGTGCCCCCCTGGTAGATAGTGCTCCCCTTCTACTATTCTAATCAGGGTCACAAAAGATGGACAATAATAATACAGTGGGAGGAGAAGGTAGAATTGTTATTAGGTGCTGCTGAGTCAACTACTATCCACTTCGATCCTGTCAACAACAGATCTGAATCGCACCATCCTCCACGTCTCTGGTACATCTGAGCCCATTGTGTACCCTCTGTGTAAACTCATCTGGTAGAAGGTCTTTCCCTCCTTTGCTTACTCTCCACCTTTCTCAGCATGATGTCCCATCCCAAGGACTAGCCTCTCCTAACAGCATGCCCAAACATGTGAGACAATGTTTCTCCAGCCCTGCCTCTGAGGAGCACTCTTGTTGCACTTTTATTTTATCTTATATTTTATATTTTATTTTATTTATTCGTGTGTGTGTGTGTGTGTGTGTGTACTGCCAAATTGGATCTGACTGGTACAGGAGGAGATTGCCCCTCCTTCTCCAGCACAGCATCTGGTGGATTCGACCCACCCACCTCTGGGATTGCAGTGCAGCTTCTTGCCACTAGGCCACCAGAGCTCCCTTGTTTCTTCCTAATAGAACAGCAAATTTCTTTTAAAAAAGCATGCTATCTCTGGTGGGCTAATGTGTTCTCATTCCAAAGGCACACAGTTTGAATCCACCAGCTGCTTGATGGGAAAAGACGAACAATCTTCTCTGAAAACCCACTGGCGTGTCAACTATGGGTTAGTTTCGCTCAACAGTCCACAGTAACAGGCTAACTGAAGCCAGCAGACTCCTCGACACTATTGTTCTAAGAGCCTCTTCAAATCTTGATGTAAAACCATCCCAGAGGTCACCATGAAGCTAAATAACAAATTGGCTCGAAAAATCATGAACACCACCTGTAAGTACTATGATCGTTTTTAAAAACATCATCTATATGAGGCTAAGTGGTCGAGAAATACTTTAAAACAAAGTGGCGCTTTCCCTGTGAGTGGCCTCAGGTGATCTCCCAAAATGGTTCACTTCAAGTTTGACCCAGAAAATCCCACATAATTGTGCAAATCAAGAGGCTCAACTCTCTGGGTCCATTTTAAGAACACCCAGGAAACTTCCCAGGCCCTCAAGGGTGTGCATATCCAGAAAGCCACCAAGTGTCTGATAGATGTCACTTGGCAAAAGCAGCGTGTGCTATTCCGACATTACAACGGTGGAGCTGGTAGGTGTGCCCAGGCCAAACAGTGGGGCTGGACACAGGGTCAGTGGGTCAGAAAGAGTGTCGAGATGTTGCTGCATATGCTTAAAAACACAGTGAGTAATGCTGAACTAAGGGTTTCGAGGGCGATTCTCTGGTCATTGAGGACATTCAGGTGAGCAAAGCTCCCAAGATGCACCAGCTGCATGTACAGAGTTCAGGGTCTAATTAACCCCCATGTGAGCTCCCCCTGCCGTGTTGAGATGATCCTTAGTGAAAAGGAGTAGATTGGTCCTAAACCAGAAGAGGAGGCTGCCCAGAAGGAAAAGATCTCCAAGAAGAAATGGAAGACAAAACAACTATGAGATATCATCTCACCCCAGTAAGAATAGCAAAATTCAACAGAACAGCAAACAACAAATGCTGGCAAGGTTGTGGAGAAACTGGAACCCTTATTCACTGTTGGCGGGGGTGTAAAATAGTGCAACCACTATGGAAGGTGGTGTGGCACTTTCTCAAAAAGTTACAGATAGAGATACCATTTGACCCAGCAATTCCACTATTGGAAATATACCCCAAAGAAACCATAACTGCCACCCAAGCAGATATATGCACACCCATGTTTATTGCAATTTTGTTCACAATAACAAAGAGTTGGAAACAACCTAAGTGCCCATCAAC